GTGGATTATCCAACACTTAAATCGAGGGCAAGAGATTAAAACGACTTTGTGGTTCATCTGTGTTTTTAGATTGATATTTAGCTGACTTCAAAGACTACTTTACAATGCTGCCTTTATACTCTTAATTGAATTTGTTGGTTTTGCTTCAATAAGAAAAGAGAAGTCGTCCAAGTAAATAAGTAATTTGAGTATTTAACATTGGATTGTATATGAAGTCAGCTAGTTATGTCGCGTAAGAGGTAAAAGCTTAGACCCCTCACGGTACTGTTGTTCACCATATTTTTTCGTTCCTTTTTTGCGTCGGCGTGCGTACCTTTTACAAAATAAGGATGAGAAAAATCAAATCCTGACCACAAACGTCTGGCTCAATTTGGTAAGTGGTAGGAGCCGGGTATGGCGCCTTCGCCCCCCGCCCCCCGCAATCCTACCGGGCAACACTACCGGGTAACGAGCGATATAACTACCGTACTTTTCCACATTCAATCAGCACTGTTTACCGCACTTTTTTAATTCACTATTTGATGCACTTGGAAGGGAAGGTTACAGGAGGCGGGCGCGGACAGAGGGCGCCGCCTTCGCGGCAGATCTGTCGCATGGAGTCAGTGTTAAATTGTTGTAAACTACGCATATAATATCTATTTAGATTGTGTGTCCGGCGGTGCGCGAAAATAGCTTTTAAGGATCGCATGATAAGTGGCATTTTCGCCCGCCGCCCAGCCCCTGAGTATTGTGTCTCCGGCGGAGTGGAATAGTTTGTTTAGATCATCATACTGACTGCGCCCTTTCTGTTTTTGTTGACATCGTCTAACCCAATAGGACGAGAAGAATCAACTACTTATAACCAATATATGGCTGTCGTTGGTAAGTGTGAATAAAAGAGAAACCTAAAATTAACACTAAAATTTCTAATCATTATTTTCGTTTCTACTCTTTTTTAATTTATTTCTTTTTTTGTATATTTACTCCTTCGTTCTGTCTATCTGTTTGGGTTATTCTTCTAATCTGTGACTGTTATGAAAATTGCATAGCATTGTGGAATATGCGGCAGTCTTTTTTGTATTTTACCTGTTTATGATATTTGTATGGGAGCTGCTTGACATGTCCACTTGTCCAGATCCTCGTCATCGCTGCCCCGGCTCGTGCTGTAGACTAGCCAGTAGACCCTATCATGCATCCCTTCATACAAACTGTCATAAGTTAGCTTAGTATCGTACGTAGTCGATAGAGCGGGTGATGTGTTGGCGGTGAGTCCGGCGCCCGCGCAGCCGGCGTGGCGGCGGCCTACACTTGTACCTCAGCGCCCACTGCCGCGTAAGCCGCAATGCGTTTAACAATATGTACTAATGGTTGACGTTAAGTGTGACATAATAACTGATCATAACATAAAACTATTCAAGTTTCTCAAATGAAAAATAACTTAAACGATGTGTTAAAAGGGTCTCGTTAGGTCAATTGGAAGTGACATATTGGTGAAAATTTATGTTTATTGATATGCACAGATATTGTTATTGAGATGAAATGTGTTTTATGTACACTGTAAATTGATTATGCACATCCTGGGTACCCGCTGTTGATTTTATTTTGTTTTTCGCTACAAGGAATTGTAGTATTTTTCATACTATGCATGGCCATGGAATGTTTATAATGGGAGATATATCCTCTTTCAAATTGAAGTGTGGTTACCATGCTCGAATCTAGTTTGCCTGCGGAGTAAAAATCATTGGGACGACGTTTTCGATTATTAAAAAAATATATCTTTACTAAAATGTATTTCTATAAATCTTTCTTCCTTCTTAAAATGTTTTTTGTCTTGGTACCTGTATGCGTCATAAAATGCCAATATTTAAAATGTTGTGTACACAACTGACAATAAATGTACACATTTTTAAATTTATTGTTATATAATTAATAGACCCGTTTTGTTTTATTTATTTTGATAATAGATTTTATGCTTCAGTTCCCGATTTTACCGAGGATATTTACGTTCTATTATTTTATTATGTTAATAAAAAAAGAATAAATAATGACGCTTAATGTACATACTTTTGATGTTGGTCGTAAATATATATTAATATAGTTCCTTGAAAAATGATTCCGTTTCATATAATAATATTTTATTGACGAATACTTTTTTATTACTATTAGTGTTTTATTTAATTTCTCTCCCAGCAATAAAGGTATGATCGTTAAGCTATTAAAACTAATTATTTTAGCATTTACCAATACGGCAGCTTAGTTTCAGAAAAAAAAAAACGTAGTGTTCCCCAATCCCTTGGTCTTGTTTTGACAGAAAAACGGCAATGTCCTATGTAACCTAGCAAGGAAATTAGAAATGTCGAGCTTCTTAGGTATACAGTGTGCTGTATATATGGAATTGTGTATTTTTATATATGCATGGTTCTTATTGCACGATTTATTGCTTTCCTTAGTATACTTCTATTTTTGAACACCCTGTGTCTTATTCGTTAAGTCCGTAATATTGTGAATGTGTTGTCATGTGCGTAAACAAAATTACTTACACATTATAATATATAAGACTACAAAATGTACAATTAGCTAAAATTCCTAACAAAATATTCACTTAAAACACAATTTTTTTTTCTCACTTCGTTTCAAAATTTTATTTTTCTCTTGCAGAATCTCATTTTTATCTTAGTTCATTGTACATAACACTGTACACTTGAAAATATACTTAAGAAACTTTGAAATAAAGTTTATATTTCAAAGTTGTTGAATTTAACGATCAATTTACTAAGTTACCATGCTCTTTTACCAATTTCAAAGTTAGTGTTCTCTCTTGAAAGTTTTTGAGAAAATAAATTCATTGAAATGTTTTTAGTGCTAGCGTAAATAGCGAAGTGGTTATAGCTGAGTCACTGACTTCGAAAACAATAGAAATATATATACTTTTTAATTTCCATTAAGATTATACCTATTCATTGAAAAGTATGTATTATCATATGTATATCTGTAATATAAACATTAATTGCAAAAATGTATTGGTAAGCGTATAACTCGAAAACGCCTAGACTAATTTTGCTAATTCTCTTTTGTTGTTGGAAGGATTTAATGAAAAGAAAGCTAGGAAAGTTGAGGGGACGAATTGGGAAATTTCTACCTTTTTGTAGTTGGCAATCCGCTTGTTATTTATACTTACTTACTATACATATACAAATATAGGCACATAAATGTATTATCTATATATACCTATAGGCGTATTATGTTTAAATTATAATCGTTAATAATGAACAGTATTACTACTGAAATAGACAATAGGAAATTGTTCCTTCGAAAGAAATACATTTGTAAAAAATATTCCAAGAACGGGTAACGTATTATTTCAAGGACAAATAAACAGAATCTTACGTCTTATGAGGCTCAATAAAAACACTATTTATTTTCACTGCAAAAAATTAAAACTAAAATAATATTGACCACTGACAAATCAAATAAAAAAATAATAGGTAACTATCAAAATAATGGATTTATTCCATTTCAATAATGAAATACAAACTATCTCTTAATACTGACTTAGACTAGCATACGTAGCCTTTAAGTACGTAAGTTTGCACTTAAGTTATAGCGCACTATACCACATAAACATATGTTCCGAAACAATAGAGCTGTTAAACACTGTAATTGATCACAAACCCTTCAAGAGAGAACATTTTATATATCTGTCTCGCTTCCACACCGGCCTTCCAATGACCCGAATGGGATAAGCTCTTAAACTCCTCAGACTGAAACAAACCCTGATGGGTTTCTCTCCATTGATGAATGAAGGAAAACAAGTTTGTTTTGTTAGAAGACTGGAATATTTTATGATAAATTCTTTATAGATTTTTTTATAGGTAATGTTAAGGATAGGAAATGAATAAACTGTTTTCGTAAAAAGAATAATCAAATATAATTCATAGAATGTTCTTTAATAATAGACAATCATGCTACATGTATTTTAAAAAACTTATTAATGTAACATAAACTCTTTTATTTGATTTTATCCAAGATTTGAATTTAGAATTAAATATTTTTTCTTTAATTCAATACTTTAAAGGATTTTTATCTGTGGACCTAGAGTTCATCGCAGTATGATTAACATAAATGAATTTTATGCATAGAGTCACATACTTAAATAAAAGTTAAAATGTATCCAAATCTGACTGGAAGATATAAGCAATCTGATTTGTGACCGGCCTAAATTGTTTACATGAAAATCTGGACTAACGGCATAAACCACTCTTATTGTTGTTAATTATTTGATAAGATGTAATAAAAATAATATTATCAGTAAATTGCACGTGGTTGTAATGCCCAACTCCATATCTTAAGAAAAACAATATTAGTTTTGGAGTTATACCCCTATTTGTAAGTACTCGTAGCCTCGAGCGTGGAATCTAATATCATACTATACAAATATGTTAGTATCGCTAGGTATATATTGTAAAGTTGTGGGTCTAACTTTTGTAATATTAGAGGAGTGGCTGAAGTTTGAAGGGCTCGCTTTTGTTTTACTCAGCTAGCAGTTGTTATTGTTGACTGGGTTGTACAGGCGGTGTGGAAGTGATCACCCGCGACAATATTGGTAGCCGTGTTCCCAATACAAGGGTCGACTTTTTCAATTCACATATCGAATCTCGCAATAATTCGCAAGTTTTTCTGTCAGTTCCCGAAATCCGCCATGTTTGCGTTCCAATTTCCAATATTGTTGCTGGCGACTTATTCTATAAGATTTTAAAATTTTTATTCTTTTTTTTTCGAGAAACGGGTGTCGTTGTCGGCCGTTCTTTTTTGAGTTTTATAAGTCGTAATATTTGATGGCTTTAATAACGTTCTCTGAACGGTTTTTAAGGAATTAATGTAAACGAGAAAAGAAAAGGAAATTAAAAGTTTTAGTCGGTACTAAAATCTTGAATTCTCAACGGTTTGTTATTAAATTTGTAAGTAATCTAGGTATTACAAGTAAATATTTTTAAAATTGTAATAGTTTTCTTAATGGCCAGCTTATAAAGCAAAGAAAAAAGTAAGTTGATTCTAAGAAATTCTGTAAAGGTTTTACCAATTTTATTTTAAATATCTTTGTGATTTAGGATTCGTATTAAAAATAGTTAATGAATATTAGAACTATCAAAACTATTTTATTTTACGTATATTTGAGGTTTTTCCAATTTAATCGGAAAACTTAATCTCTTCTAATTTAAAGCAGTAATTCAGAAGAAACTAAGTATTACTATTTTTAATAGTCTTTTCTAACGACAGTATGCTGAAAGCAGACAGTGTAGCATCACAATACAAAATAATATCAAAAGGAAATCTTTACGTTGAGATCGGCCGTAACAACGACTCCCGCCATTGTTCGAGTACACTGGCGAGCAGAATTACTGGAATATTTTTGATATGTATTTTTATATGGCATTGTAAATTCCATTCTTTGACTCCAAGCCCCGTTACAAAGTTAAATGTTTTTTTCACATTCCAAATTGTTGTAGTTTTCCGCAATGTTACCGAGAAAGAGGAACATCAAAAGTTTTAAACACGAGTAATACATATTACACGATAAACATTTTACATGCTTTACTAAGAGACGGCCTTAATATTATATAGCAGAATATTGAATATAACTATCAACGGAATCTTTACATTAAAATATTACACATTTATCGCTCTGCTGAAATTTCTAATATAATACCGCTATCAGTACTCAAGGCCGCTATTTTAACGCAATTTATCATTCACGATTCATAGCACCGCACCTCGTAACTGCTCTGTTGAGACATTGAAAAGTTGTTCTTAGACCTCTTTAAGATGTCTAGCACCTTTTTATTACAGTTTTAACGTTTGCCTAATTAAAAACTACTCTGTCTTACTTCTACTTTTTATAACATTACCTCTTTTTATTCAATTGTTCCATTAAAACATTTAATTTTGACACAATTCTATTTATCAATTTAATTTTGCATTTAATTTTAATCAGAAATGCTCCAATATTTTTGCTCGCACGTGTATTTGTGTTGACGGTGATATCTCTGATTGTGTTGATAATATGGCAGGAGTGGAATGACTACAACCTGAGGTGGAACGACAGCGACTATGGCGGGGTCAAGGACCTCAGGATCACACCCAACAAGCTGTGGAAGCCGGACGTGCTTATGTACAATAGGTGAGAGTACTGGCAACGGGTATGAACATTACATTCTTATTTTAAAATCAATAAAAGAATCTTTTTTTTCTTTTTATTATAAAACAAAGGTAAGACTGATAAATCATAAGCACAAATGTTATTTGATTTATCATGTAAATAATTCGAGAAAAATCTTTTTGAATTAAATAATGTCATCGAGATATCGAAAATTATTGCTTCAGCTTTTCGTGTTTTAATGAGACACCAATTTTATTCTATTGTTTCATTTTTGGCAACGAAAGGGCTTGATTTGTAACGTACAGGGCCTGCAAAGAAAGTCGGATTTATTATCCCAAAGCGACTTATACAATGGGATAGCATAATTAAGTAAATATTACAATTAAAACTCAAATTAAACGTAAGTAAATAAGGTTTAATTTTGAAATTGCTTTTCCAATCTAAAATATATTTTTGACGAACAACAAAGTATACGCGAAGTTTCCTGCAATTTTTCAGCTCTTAATTACTTTATAGGTTGGTGAAAATTATTTTAAAGTGACTGTAAGTAATTACAGGGCTCAAACCTCACTAGAGGGTCCTAACTTGCTGAAATATGCGGACAAAATAATTATAAATTTCTTTAATGTTGGTCCCAACGGAAGAAATATTTCACCAGACTACTTTACATTTCAAAACCAGAAGATTTTAATTACAGCCGAACACGGGAACGTTTCGACTTACTTTAGCATTTCTAAATTGTAGAAATGGTTCCCTCAGAATTTTGGAAGTTTGCTACAAATGTCGAAATAACTGCCTCATTCCCTGCACCGTGCAATTCGCAGAGTATGAACACAGTAATATAATCATACAATTTATTTTTAAATTCAAATGCAGTCGCGTCGTTCAAACGTCGTTAACGTTAAACAAATTTCGCTCGGCAAACAGACGTCCGCGCAAAGTGGCGCCATCTGGCGGCGCGCCAAACATGTTATTCATTACACCGTTAAGGAGCAAATGATATAAACCTAGTGTCACATGATTTAATGTTAAGAGTGTTTCATGTTTATCGGCACTTACCTGGCCGGAAGCCAGGCGTTTACACACGACACGTACATCTTAGCACGATAACTTTTACGAACGTCCATGGATAAGTAGTTATGGCCCGACAGCACCACTTTAACGATGCCATAGAATACAACATATTATGAAGCAGATAGAAGATTTACTACTTTGCTATTTTTTCTGTCGCTTTCTTCTTTATTTATGGTGTTAATGCTCCTTGGAATGGGTATGCCAGAAAGGTACATGACCTCTCCTTCTCTGGGTATTCCTCTCTAGCGTCTCCTTTAGTAAGCAACTTTAACAATTCGTTTTTCTTTTTGATATCCATCCATGATTTAATGGGGCCTTTAGCAGAGAAGCGCCTATAAATATAAGTTAATGATACAAGAAAAATCTGCGACATAAACCGAAATCACATTAACGGTAATACATTAGAGCCGCGTTATAATTTATCTGTTGATTTTACACGAACATTAAGTCTCCGAAAGTCCCAAGATTTTAAACGAGATTTGAGCAAGCATCCGAATTAAAATAAAGGTCGGCGAAATTGCAGAGTCGGCTTGTGTAATGACGGCGTAACCGCTCCATCGGTGTTTGCAACTGGCCGGCTTTTAACATTTCCAGACTTTTAAGTTTCAACTGTATAACAGATTTAAATGTGCGAAATTGAGTTGGGAACTAAACTTGGAACTCAGCCAGTCAACAATCCTTTTTACAAATAAAACGTTATCTCTGATTTGTTGCTGCGATTACTGGGAAACGGGTTGCAATCTGTTAATAGGATGTTTTAAATGTAAGGGATTTATGTATGTTTTTATGGTGTACTTTGGTTTATTTATGGGAATGAAGTATAAAAAGCGAAAAGTAGAAGGGAATAAATCGTGAACGAATGTTATTCTACGAAATGGAATATCCATAATATACCTACATTAAAAGACTTAGGTAATTGTGTTCTAATTACGCAACTTCTTGAAGTTACACAAATAATTTCTCTTTTCTTAAAATGCCGTGGAAATTTTTTTGGTAATTTATTTCATACGAGTGTAGAAAATATATGAAAAAAAGATTTGTTTATTCTTTGCGCCCATTTTTTCAGCGACACCAATGTATGGGGCGTGTCTTACAGACTCGTATGATATTTGTGCCGTCGGTGATTCGCATTTTCATTTGGGAGCAACATAATTAATATGTAGCCTTGGGAAAATCGAGTAAATATACACATTAGGTATAAATTGCAGAAGAAAAGAAGGGTGTTTTTGTATATATATCTGTATATTAATTATATGTTTAGAAATACAAAACTTGAAAAGAAGGAAAAGCGAAACAGTAATATAAAAAGAGATAATTCATCTCAAGTAAAAAAGTAATACTTCAAAAATTTTTCAATAATTCAAAGTATTATAACAAACGAGTAACAATGAAAACTGAAAACAACGAACAAAACACAGTTTTGATTTCTATTATAAATAATTGCTGATTTTCACTTGAACAACGTTTTGGGCATTTATTAACTACGAGACAGAAACAAAAATGGTCGCCAAAATCTATTTACAATTACAAAATATCTCGAAAGAAAACAATATTATTTACATAAACGTACGTATATTAATACGATATTAAACTGGTATAAAAGTATTTGTGAGTGTTTTCTTATACAGCACTTTTATGTCCTATTAACATAATGTGAGACCCGCTTAAATACAGAAGGATATTTGGCTCAGTATCGCACAAATTTTGCTGACCAACAAATCGTTTTATCTTGTAAGTAGAAAGTAATAAGGTTGCTATTACAATAACTTCACATAAAATTGGCAAAATTATCTTATGGTTTTGCTACAAAATTTCGGAATTTCACATATATACATCGCATTTAACAAGTCCAATATATCAGCCGACATTTTAAAAGTATTAACAGAAAAAAATCCTTTCATTTACGATATTGGTTGTACGTAGCCAACATTGGTTGTTGGCGTTGGTCCAGTTGCCCAGTATTCGATTATGAAAGCTTTTAAATCACTCACGGCGCTGTGAGGTGGTAACACCTTGTTTACCGTCTTCGTTGCTGGACGCTGGAAGCAATGGAAGTACATCACACCGTCCTGCAACTTCTTCAAGGTGTTATAGCTAAAAAAAAATGTAATGTAGCTAGAGAAAAGCACATAAAAAAGAGAGGAGACTAATAGTAAAAACTAACAACGATAAAATCTCTCTGTAGATAGAAAATAAAAAAGCAAATTACAATGATAAAAAGACGAAATCTCAGCAATTACAATACTAAAAGTCTTACGAACAATTTCCCAAAGAAGAGTACGTTTCTCCACTAGAAAAACCTTCCCACAAACCACAATGGACACCTAAACGTTACAACAACATCGGTAAATCCAAAAGGTGTTGAAAATACCTCGTCCATTCCTTAAGGGAACGACCCGACACCCAATAAAAACATGACAAAAGAAAGCTGACCATTCGGTACGATTGCATATTTTATTTAAGTCACTGAATTACACTGCTGTGTGACATGAGGTCCACGTTAATACGGATTTGCTGGCGGGCCGCCAACTAACGGAGTGGTTACACATGACACGTCGTCCGCCCATGAATACTACATGCAACCATGACAGACACTTTTGTCATAGTCAACGCCCACGGACGTTTTTCGGACTTTTTCACTATCTGAGAATTTTGTTACGTGCTCGCTTTTGTTTTTGAGCAACGCTAGTGCACTGCTCCTTTTTGGCGCGCTATGATTGACGGGCTGGAAGAATCGAATAGGTTTTGTTTTTTGTATACTGTGTTGTCCGTTGTATATTTTCAAAGGTTGGTTGTAGTCTGAACATTAGGCAAGAAAACGTTAATGGTGAATCTATAAACGAACTTTTTTCTCCGTTTGGGATTAACAAAATTTTACTTTACTAGAAATGTCTTAAAATACCATTCAAAAACAATTTAAAAATTGTTAATTCGTTTAGATATTATTAAGTACTAAGTGACGAAGTCATTGGTGCGAAAATCCAAACATAAAACTCACTTTCAACCTTTTAACACTAAGCTAGACGTAAAATTACTTTATAACTTAGAACGTCCTAACTTAATTACGAAAATAAATCCCAAAAGCGAATTAAAATTAACTCTCTTTAATAACGCCGACATCAAAAGTTAGTTTAAACTAGTTAGGGCCAGTACAAACCGGTGTAAACCAGTATCTTCATTTCATCGACTGTGGTCCCCGGACGCTCGCGGACAAATTAGAGTTAAACTGTAGCTCAGACTAGATCTTGAATTTACGCTTTGTGGGTTAATCCGCACTAGTTGTGTTAATTGTGGTTTTAGGAGGCAAGACTTTTGTTGTAATATTGTTGTTAGGTACTGCACTAGGAATTTTAAGGATTTGAAATGAGAACGGAACTGCTAACAGCTTCGACTGTTATGCACCGTTTCGTAAATATGGAAAGTCAAATTAAGGATGATTATTTGATTTCTGGCGTCTTTCAAAGGGGTGATTTTAAATGGGAGCATTAATGTGTGTCCAAAATATTTTTTATGACCTTCATTAAAACTGAAGGCTAGTAAAACAGACCTTCTTGTAATCAGAGAACAGAAGCCTCAAAAAATTGTTATACACGACCCAGTTCCGAAAAGAACGATTAAATCCCGAAAGCCAACATTTACTTTGACGCCAGATAATAAATCCGATTAGAATGGTGTTCATTAGGGGGGAGTTGAATGAAAAATACTAATGATCAGATTGTGGGCACGTTGATAAATGAACGTGGGCGATAAGGCTCCGTGTTCTTTATTTAGCACATAAAGGCCTTTGTGGAGACGTGTGTGTAAGCCCCAGGGAGGTTTGTACAAACTTGTACAGCGAATAGAAGCGAAATAAATATTTGAATCGACAATGCGTAAGTTTTGCATCGACCAGCATTTTGTTTAATTCCGCATTTTTTCTATTGCTTAGCTCTAAGATGACCTTTGTATTTTTATTGTGTACCTTTATTTCCTATTTTTAAATAATATATTTAACTACATAATTTTCAGAATTGTGACAGCACAGTAGGAGTTGGTCCCGAATGTGACGATCGGTACTTGACCCCTATTTATATATATATTTTATTTTGTTTAAAAAGTAACGATCGTTCGCGTGGTTGAACGCTGCTACTCGGTGCTGCCACAAATAAAAATAAAATAAACGTACATGGCACGCTAGTCGCTGATTTGAGACACCACTGTCATTGTCTCGCTTGTCAGACTTTTTTTTTGATGGCAACTATTTCTTTACTTTCCTTTTTCTTTTCACAATTTTCTTTTGTGCAGATGTTAAAGCTTTTTTGAAATCTGATGAGCGAGAGGATGATTTTAGTGCAGTCAATGATAAAAATCTACTTAAAACTTTAACTTTGTCAATGACAGCACATGTTTTAATAAATAGCGTCCCAGATGAATCCGAAGCACTGACAAATAAATTATTAATTAAATAATTAACGCTTTACACTAAAAGCTCATTACGCTTTAGACTTAGCTTTAATTAAAAATTTAAAATATTCTGTGTGTAATTAAAAATTTTCCATTTATAAATAAATAATAAATTGTGTACATAGTTAAAAGAAAAAAAGGTGTGTTCAAATTAATACTTTTATGCGATTTCACCGACGCTTTTGACATTATTCTTATTTGTAAAGCAAAAAGAAATGAGACCGTTTGATTTTATAAATTGGTATACATTTTGTAAATAAAATAAAACATTTTTCACTTCTAATGTGCTCAAAGGATTTTTTATTAAATTGAAGTTACGAAGCTGATCAAAGAATGCTTTAGTACCCAAAATTCGTTTTCAATTGCAAGGGTTTGATAAGGGTCATTTCCTTCGTTTAATTTATATCTGTGAAATTTTCTGAATAATTTATTAATAACACTGGTCCGTTCATTCATTCATTGTGAATGAGAACTGAAATTTTAATGGTTAAAATAGCTTTTGAGACCATGAAAGGTCACCTTAATTGTTGAAAATCTCGATGGTGACCATGTTGTATCTGAGAATAACATGATGACACGATTTGTATTGGTATGTAGTGCTGACGAGGGTTTTGACGGGACATACCAGACCAACGTGGTGGTCAGAAACAACGGCAGTTGCCTGTACGTGCCACCTGGCATATTCAAGAGCACATGCAAGATAGACATCACGTGGTTTCCCTTCGACGACCAACACTGTGATATGAAGTTTGGTAGCTGGACATATGATGGCAATCAGGTAGCTAAAACTTAGTTCGTTTCGAAATCTGTAATCATTTGGCTCACTCACGTTCTCTAACTATTATAGTTTCTGTGGCTCTTAAATCACTTTAAACAAATGTATATTCTAGAGTAATTTCAAATCGATTTGTCACGATTCTTTTCACTCGCGACTTTGAACTTTGAAGCACAGATTAACACTTTTTTCTTGTAAAGTTAGTTAGTATTTGATTCCGCTTAAATATTTACTATAGGTTATTTTCTAGGAGATTTTTTACTTCTATATACACGTTAAGGATTCACCCGTCTTTATTATATTTTCTTACTAAATAATCAGCACGCGTATCCAGGGGTATGTAGTTATTTTAAATGACCTGATCACAAATGTTAGTGTAACAAAAAGATAAGTTCTATGATTCACAATTATTTCCTTAATTTTATTACGTTTGCACATACTGTAACATCTTTATTCAATAAAACAAGTGAGACTACATGTCAGTGTTACCATTAAAATATGACATTTTGCCTATCATATTGCTGTTGTAAATATTTTATTAAAACAAAAAGCGTTTCTATTTCAATTGTAATTTTAAATACATAACAAAAAATACAATTTTCGTGTAAGCATATATTAAGATGTAAAATGCATTTTGTAACCATTTATTGGAATAATTTTTAATAAGTATTGCAATCGAAATAATTTTGTTCAAGACGGGTGTTTCTGTAACGACGTTAAAATGATATTAAATAATTAAATCTATAAATAGGCCAAACGCTGTAAAGTTAAACAAACATCTTTTCATTAACAAAACAGATAATTCGAGCCTCATTACAATTAATTACTGTAAATTTAATGGGATTTAATTACATTACAAATAAGAGCCGCGACTGGAATAATTAAATTAATTCGCGAATTAATATTTCTAGGAATAATACAGGTTAGGGTTCAGAATAGAATTAGGTTTAAGGTTAGGTTAGGGGAGAAATCTAAGGGAACCATGTGAGAAACCTAGGATATGAAATATCCAGTTTTGAATGTACTATTTTGCATGTTGCAAAAAATTAGAAATGTACATTTATAAGGAAAAAAGTCACTGATTAATGCGAAAATTGCTAACCGCCATACGGAAAATTCTGTAGAAAATGATCGTGTTTTATATATGTATTATATATATATAAAAACCTCTTTATTGAACATTTTGATTGGAACCTGTGTCTCAAGGCAATGTGATGTGTTTTAATAAAAAAAAAACACAAGAAAAGAGTTCGTATTATTACGAAGTAATCACTGGTTTTGATCAAAATTTACTCGTATAAGGAACTTTTTTATTCATCTATGTGTTGTGTGTAGGTTACACATATTTTTGCAAATACACATTAATCATGTATACAACTATTTACTTATGTTAAAAAATTATATTATTGTTACAATGAATTTTTTAATTTAAATATTATGCCTCATTTGTTTGCTAAACTATTCGATACGTTTATTATTGTGTCACACGAAAATAAAATTTAAAGTACTATATTAATTAAATTCAATTTCGTAAAATTTTAATTTACCTAAGTTAATGTAGAGTCAAAAAATAATAGCAATTATAAAATGTATAATTTAGAATTTTTTTGTTGAGAAAAAACAGCCGCTACGTCCCGAACTAATATTCCAATGTTGACCCATTTATTGTTATTTGTAAATAAATTAAGTAAATAAAAATAAAATATTATCAATTAATTTTATTGATCCATTAAATATACGTTCAGAAGCATTAATGGAATAATGGAGTAAATATCAAGAAAGGTTGTTTTTAGTTGAGGATTTTATAGGTACCGTACTATTGAAAATGTACCATTTTTTATTGGAATTATGTGACTACGTCAAGGGTGATGCGGTCTCATAGGATTGATATTAGTATTTTAAAATAATAAATTAATTTTATTATATTCCATAAAAATTAAATTATCTAAATATTATTTTTTAACTCTGGTTTTAATTCGAATTTTCGGCGACATTAATTTCACAAAAAAATCAAGTAATGTCTCGAATAATTTAGCATTCATTCGAGTTTTGAAAAACATCTTTATGCTCTAGTAAGAATTAATGTTATAAACTTTTCTTGCTTAGATTGTTCTTCTATATGTAGTTTTCTTTATAGAATGCATGTTTTTCGTTTATTACTTTAGAAGGTAAAAGTTTTATTAGATTTGAAATTATTTGTAGCCATTTTGTAGCTCTTATCGGAGTTTATGACAGTCTTGGAGTGTATTGATTTTCACTTACGAGTACAGTCACGTTTGTCTCGTCTTTGATTTCTCCAAACACATTGTACATTGCACAAATATATTTCGTTCAGAAAATACTAAAAATGTTCGTTTTCAGAATGTTTCACTGCTGTAACGCGATTGATTTCTCTCGGACTGCAATTCGGTTGATGGCTATACGAACAAATGTTGAAGCCAGTAGGTACGGGCAGGTTTGAAACCGATTGACTGGACGGCTGCCATTTTGTTTACAAACGGCCATTGTATCTAAATAACTAACTTGTTAATCATCGGTTTGGTTTTGACAATAACATTTGGACTAACCTGCAGTATTTTAAAAAGCTATACATACTATAATTCAAATTTTAGAGGTGCAACCGAATAGGCAAAGTTGTCCGTTATTGCCTTTTGTATTAATTTAAAAAGTATGTCGTTTAAAGTGTAAATACTTAAAGTGAAATATAGCAGAAAAGCTGTCATAAAATATCCCACACGTTGAGTGATAACTTCTTGAATAATTCCGTAGTGTCCCGGAGTTGTGGCGCGTCTCAAACTCATTACTCCAGTTCCCGCCACGTGTTCGTTATAGACTTAATCTAACTTTGCCTTTGTCCTGTCCTCGTATTATTTTAACTTTCATTATAATGAGTAGTTTTAGAATTTGTAGTGTGACGTGGTCTCAGGAAACTGGATTAACTTGGTTCGTTACCAACTACGTGTCCTTAAATGTTACTTCTGCTCTTTGGAGTGGAACAGCATTCAACGTCAGACTATTTTGAATACTGTTTTACTTCGCTTTTCTTTACTCTTGCATCTTTTTCTGTATTAGATATATTTCCATCTTTAATATTATTTTTACCTTTTTTAGCCTTTTTAGTTTATTATGTTGTTAATATTGTATTAGATTTTAATTTGAATTAATTCCGTATGGCGGTGATATTTTTAACTGTTTAAAGCATGCTCTTGCATCCCCTTCCTTGTCTTGCATTTAGAGGTTCTCACATTTCCCTTTCGATCCAAGGTATACATATTTTACGAGGAACTTCGATAACCTAAAGATGGCAGGATCAAAAGATTCCGAAATGTAAGTAACTCGGCAAATTTTAAGCCGATACTGAATAATGGGCTTCGAGACGTTTACAACTTATGAAATCTGGCGGAATTTTATATCCAATAAAGTATGCAAGAGGGAAAAAGGGACGAGAAAAAAATGACAAAACGTTTCATTACAAAATTGCTTCCTCAACAGCAATCTTATCCCTTAAGAAGCCGGCATTGTACGGCGAGTAATGGGACATTTCCGTCCGTCGATTTGATCCTGCTTTCTTAGTACGTTTGGCATGTGTACTTGTATGGGTGATGGGTATTAGTGCATCTTGTCTGAATGTGTCAAACTACACCGTGTTTCGCCCTGACAGTTGGATCTGGTGCTAAAAGATGAAGCTGGCGGAGATCTATCGGACTTCATAACGAACGGGGAGTGGTATTTAATAGGTAAGTGTAAGTTCAAGACTTCCCTGATATCTTTTCTGTTTTCGCATCTGATTACTTTTATGTTCTTTTTAATTTATTTAAGTTGAAATTCATGGTTCTTTCAGGATTTTGTTTTTTATTTTCTTTCAACTGTATCCATTCTTGCAATAAAACTTAATCTGACACAACATCCAACGTTGAAACCCACAGGAATGCCAGGCAAGAAGAACACGATAACATACGCGTGCTGCCCAGAGCCTTATGTAGATGTCACGTTCACCATCATGATCAGGAGACGGACGCTGTACTACTTCTTCAATCTCATCGTCCCCTGCGTCCTGATCTCATCCATGGCACTCCTCGGCTTCACATTACCGCCAGACTCCGGAGAGAAACTCACTCTTGGTCAGTATCGTTCTTCGCTTTTTTGTATTCGTTTGTACGTGCTTCGATTTCTTTTTCTATACCAAACAATTTTTGTTTTAAAGTGCAATTTTTGAGGTGTTTATGGAAACAAGTGGCGCTGTGATTCTATTTTGGTTTCATTGTTTCGTTAATATTTTCTAAAAGAAACATTTAATACGTTTTTTTCAAGAAATATCTTAGAACGTTTTTTTCACTCAAACTGAACAGTATCTAAATTCAGCCATGAGATTTATTACCATTGATTAAGAAATAGTATTGATCCAACAATATACTGACTTCACGGTTGGTGCGGTGGCTGGGCAACTGGCTGCCGTGCAACGTGTCGCGGGTTCGATTCCCGCACGGAACAACTCTTTGTGTGATCCACAAATTGTTGTTCCGGGTCTGGGTGTCATGTGTTTGTGAAATTGTATGTTTGTAACAGCACCCACGACACAGGAGAAAATCCTAGTGTGGGGCAACGTTGTTTTAAGAAAAATAATATATATATATATATATATATATATATATATATATATATCTCTAGCTATCCATATTAACGAATAAGCTATATCACAAAAATGTTCTTCCACTAAATTGGGTTTGTTGACAAGTGAATAACGTGGCGCATATATCTACAAATATATAGATATAACAAGTAAAAGAGATGCGGAAGAATGGAGCGAAATCGTCGTTCCATTTTCTTATCTTGAAAAGGCCACATTGTGCATATTCGTATCGCACTTCGTATATAGCACAAGTGCTGATGTAGGCTTGAGTTTGCAGTGTATCTTATACTAGCTCCGTCAGGGGCTTTGCCCGTCTTCTAGAATATCGTGGCAAGATGTTCTATAAAAAATTGTATTGACCTTGAAATGTATTTGTCAAATTATGGTGTTTACTTTTATATATCAGGTGTGATGAGTTAAATTATTTTTATTTTGTTAGCCTTCTAAATATGTAGGATGTTATTTAAGTTGCTAGAAATGTGTAATAACCAAAAATCTAAACTCAGTGCATCACCAGTTTTTGTACACAGAAACGTTAAAAAGCAATTACGGGTTTGTTATAAATATTTAGACATTAAAGTCTACTGTTATTTTTCTTGTCTAACATTTGTTCTAGTAGTTGTATAACATGAATATACTTGGAATAACACTAATGATGTAGAATTAATGTGGTGGTCATTCAACGATAATGACCACACAGAAAAACATTAGATGTTTTCATTACATGCGATCAGGCATTTAGTGTTGTGGTAATCGAGTACCTTCAGTATTTATTAAAGCTTTCTTATCTTTTATTGTTGGAATATTTGGTAATTAATCTATGATTTGTTGGACAAGACTCTGTTTTCTTTTTTAAAAAAGTATGTGTTATGTTCTTGCTTATATAAATTAGTTTGTTGATGATGATAGTGATTTATATTGTATCTTCATTTTCATATAATTATGCACTACTTTTTTCGAGATTGGTAAGCGTTGTTTTAAGTAATATGTAAAGCATATCTAGTTAAGAAATAATTTATGGAGAACAAAGGACAGTTACTTGTGTATTTTGTAATATTTTGGTAATAGGATCGTAAAAGCCCATTGTAAGGTTAGTATTAGAACATATCACTGATGCACATTGGCCGGTCGACAGGTGTGACAATTTTGTTGTCATTGACCGTCTTTCTGAACCTGGTCGCAGAAAAGATGCCGTCCACGTCGGACGCAGTCCCTCTAATAGGTACCATCACGTAGGACTAGCGCCGATCTACAGTGCACGCTGCTAACGTTCTTTAGACGCCGGGAAATGTAGGAGTTCCTCAAGGATATATCTTAGGGCCAACTGCATGAATAAATTAATAATATTGCATGTTTGATGAGACGTGTTTTTTTTATTAGATAAGAAATAAAAGAAACTGCTTTCTTGAAAAAATCCACAAAAGGCAATATAAAATATCGTTTTGACGTTTAATATAAAATCAGAATTGAGCTGAAGATAAAGCTGAGATATTGTTAGAAGAAACAGAAGCATCAAGAAAACCAAATTGAAATATTAAAAATCCAATAAGAATAACCAACGCATTTAATATTCATCTCAAACCAACGATAGAAGCAACAAGAACCATTTAATATTACACTGTGGAGGCGAGAATTAATCAGAAATAATAAACGTATACCGTAAAAGCCAAGAATTCACGGCACAGCTTGTTGAACGTACCAAAGGGGTAATAAAAGTTTTAAGAGCAGTTCGGAAGCAGCGTGCACTGACATGAATATTAGATTGTCTAGAATGTGGTATGACTTTTTGTGTTGGTGTTAGTTACCCGCTAAACCCCAGACAAATATGTGAGACGGTAAGTATTACTGGCGTAGATATCATGTCGACATTGTCATCATCCATAACATTAGCGCTCAGGGAACGACACATTACGATATTAAAATTACGATCGATACGAAAATTGGAGAGTTAATAAACGATATCGACGTCAGTAGGGGTGTTAACCATGTGTTTGATTGCAGGAGTCACTATTCTTCTCTCGCTGACGGTGTTCCTCAACCTGGTAGCTGAGACCCTGCCACAGGTCTCCGACGCTATCCCCCTGTTAGGTACACTACCCAAACCTAACCCACACCGTTTGTCCATCCCGCTTGTATCCCACATTTGTTTTTATCTTCATATTCATGGCCTCCTGGTACTTTTATTTCATCTTTCATTCTCTATTTATTATTTTACTTCAGCTCTCATTTGTTTTTGTTATTAAAAATGAACAATTAATAATTATTTTAAAACATTACAAGGAGTAAATTATGTACGTTTAAATTAATTCAGATTGTTGTGAGCTTAAAGTTGCTATTGAGTGGTTTCAAGCTTTCATGTTACTGTCTGTCAATAAATAACGTTAATTATTAACAAGACGTTGTTAAAATGCTTTTGCTTATAAAATAAATTCAATCGAGAATCCATTCTATTGGAAAGTAAATTACGAAAGTCGAACATTGAATTGTTGTGAAAGTATTGTTCTTTTACGTATTTCCTTACAGTGATTTCGGTTATAAATCTTGGAATCGATTCCGTGATTCTTTGCTTCAGCTTTGTCACTAATTGATTATTCATTGTTTTGTTTCTTTGATCGATACACTTCTGTAACGATACTAACTTTCTGATTTAAGTGGCATGGCATGTGACTATATCTTTGTCAAGACTATAAATTATTTATGGACACCGAAGGTAAGTTCCAATATTTTTATTCTAAATGTTTACACAATCATATTTTTATTATCTTCAAATATTTATGTAAGTTTGCTGTTTACGTAATCGATTCCATGGTGTACGGTTTTTGTATTTGGGTGTTTATTTTGGATGTTAATGTTTTTTGGAAATATTTATTTTATATCCATAGGCTTAAAGCCGTGGTTTCTGGATACTTGGAGGGTGGTGTAATTTAGCGACAACTTATATTAAACCCTTCTCCTAATAAATGATGATATAATATAAAAATGATAAAACGCCAATGATAAAACCCTCTATAATAGTGTTTGCATGACTATCCTTATGTTTCGTTTATGATTTCACTTGAGCCCCTGATACTGACTCAGCACACAAACAGGACGAGATCTAACCGACGATGATATAAACTGGATGGTATAGGTTTAACAATTGTAAATAGAAATATTTTGATTTGATTTTGTTTCAAAGTTTATATTGATCTTTGCAGGTGTTACAATCCTCCTGTCGCAAACTGTTTTCTCTCTATTGGTGGGGCACGTCATCACAAAAACCTCTGAGGCGATCCCCCTAATAGGTGAGAAAAGTACAACGCGTTTTGTTATATTTTTTTCCTTAAATAACTGAATTAAACCTGATGATGATTAGTTATTTTTTTATTAAAACAGAATGCAGTCTGAGGAATATTTTGGGGTGACAAGCCTAAAATGTCCCTCTGCTCGTTCATCAAACACCAACTTAACAAAGATCTAACTAGATATTTTTGCTTGAATTTTTGAAGGAGAGCGTTTCTTATATTTTTCTGTTTTCAACTTGCATTTTAGAGTCTCGCCGTCTCTGGAGACTGATCTATGCTTTTAAAGCGCTCTTGCGGCTCTCTCGACACTTGAAATAGAGTTATTGCACTTTAAATTCGTGCTGTTGAAATATGTAGCTAAACAGACTCTATCTAAGGTAATTTCCTGAATATACTGACACTCGATCTTCTTGTAATGTATTAAAATAATGTACTAACATTACTTCTTGGGTCCATTCATTCAACTTTCATTTCCAAATCTATTTTACTTTCTTCGTTTTATTTTCTATTGGCCTTTCTGTAGAATGCCGACAGACACGCGACTACAGACGTCAGCTTCGAGCATGATTTTGAAATGGTTGAAAAAAAATAATAAAAAAATACAAAGAACATTACCGTACAACTCTCCTAATCTAAATAAGCTTCTAAATACTTAATTGCTTGTAGTTTAAAAGCAGGATTTAAAGTTAAACAACAGTTTAAAGCAACAAAGTGGATGCGGGTAGTGAGGGTCCAGCCTCCAAGTATCTCGTGAACTTCGGGTCTCAACTTTGCCGGGTCTGTTACTATCCCTGTAATTGACAAAATGATAAAACTTATTGAAACCTCTGACAAAGGTGTTTGTTGAGATAAAACTTAGACCAGACTGACCATTGACTATTGTAGCACTTGTAAAGCAGAATCCGATTAGTGTTCCTTACTTGTATTCAAGGTCACAATTGCAAATAACAATGTTCTGAGATGATAATGTAACAAATTCCTTTGTCAAAGTCACGCCTCTTGTAACGTTGCTTGCAATTTAAATATTTTAATAACTTGTAGACCAACAGAAACATCGTTACAGGAGGCGCTAAATAATAAACTGAAAGCGCTTGTCCAAAATAGATAATTGTCAATTTAATTCCCAAAGTAACCAAATGACAGGCACTTTCTTTGGCATAAATTAATAAAAGTAGGCGATAAAGAAAATAGGAGCCATAATTTGCCGTGTTTATTACATTATGAATTTTAAAAGATTATTGTTGTCGATAGACACGACAAAATATCATAAAACGTTGACTCATTAAACTTGATACCGCCAATGTAACGCATAAAAGCTAAAACTCATCTAAATGTAGATTAGAACATCGCATGAACAATTAAAATGCATGAATGTGGCTTTCTGTGTCATTGTTAATTAGATTATGATATAGCTTTGGACCACGACTACAAAAATTACAATAAAAAAAAATGTAATTATAAAAGTGTAAGATTAAAAAGTTAAAGTACTTAATTTATCTCCTTATCATTTTCATTTACCGTTCGCGTTTGTTTGTCACCTTAGATTTAGGCTAATGTAAATAAAATTTTATATCGACAGTCCCCTTTTTAAGTGTACAATAAGATTTAAAACAGATAAAAACATTTGATCTTGAATGTTTGTCTAAGTAAGAATTTTAGTTAAAAAAATTGTTTAAAATGGAATAGAACACATAATTAGCTTCATCAGTATATGCAATGTGTAAAACTACATGTTCTATGTAACAGGGACATACTTCAACTGCATCATGTTCATGGTAGCGTCGTCAGTGGTATTGACAGTTGTGGTACTCAACTACCATCACCGAACCGCAGATATACATGAGATGCCGCAGTGGGTGAGTCTTTTGATTTAGTTCTTCAAGTAGTAAGTAGTCAACGTAAAACACAAGATCTGTTAAAGTACCTATAAACAAAAGAATGGTTACAAATGTAAGAGTAACACGCTGATATTCGGAATGACACCATCATCATCATCAGCCTATAAGTGCCCACTGCTGAGCAAAGGCCTCTTCTCATACGGAGACGGTTAGAGCATTAATCACCACGCTTGCTCAATGCAGGTTGGCGATTTCAAACATATATATTCAAGTTCATGTTTCCTCACGATGTTTACCTTCACCGTATGTCAGAGGTGTCTAAATAATCATAGAATGACACCATATAAAATAGGAATGGGATGATTAAAAATTTAGTTTTGGTCACACTATTAATTTAGAAATTTCAATTTTTTTATTATAACTATAGCGAGACCTACTTTATATGTTGAAAAAAGTTCAGTCAAGTTAGGAGACACTTATTCACAGCAGCGTGCGCGTCACGTTGACGTCGCGCAGCCGACTGTAAAAATTGCCTGGATACGTTAACTCTATTTATTCTAAAGTTAACTAAAGATGTTGAAACTATATTGTGTGTGTGTGTACCAGGGATGTTGATCACATAAGTGATGATTATAATTCACAAGGAACAAATACAGAATGGTTTATAGAAAGGAATATATGTATTTTTGTGACAGATCAAATCAGTGTTCCTGCAATGGTTACCATGGATTCTGCGGATGTCGAGACCAGGGAAGAAAATAACAAGAAAGACAATTATGATGAATACGAGGATGAGGGAATTGGAGCTTAAGGAGCGGTCATCGAAGTCATTACTGGCAAACGTACTTGATATAGATGATGACTTTAGGCACGCCCCTCCACCTCCAAACAGTACAGCATCGACTGGGAATTTAGGGCCAGGGTGAGTCAAGAATTGTGAAGACAAATATCTTTCTTAATTTCCTAATCAGAACTATTTAGAAGTATCCAAATGACCTGTAGACAAGGTTTTATATATGCTTATGACTAAAATCAATGCAGTCCAATGAACTTAACAAGTTAAGCTAATGAAAATCATACCTATTAACGTTGTAGGTATTTTCTTACCGGGAAACGGTATACGGAACGGATAGGCAGCGAGCGATAAACAGACAACATAAAAATTTCCTTAATGTTCTATTTCTGAAACAGTTCAAATCAATATTAACTTTCTTTTTTACTGAAACCTCATTTGACATTTCGATTACATATTTTTTTCAATTTCATCATGTTGATTTAGGTGCTCAATATTCCGCACGGATTTCCGTCGGTCGTTCGTCCGTCCGTCCACTATGGAAGATGTGGGCGGCGGGCTGGCTAGCCACCACAGAGAGCTTCATCTCATCCTGAGGGAACTGCAGTTCATCACTGCGAGGATGAAGAAGGCAGACGAAGAAGCTGAGCTGATCAGCGATTGGAAGTTCGCTGCTATGGTTGTTGATAGGTAAGATGAAATTGATATTTTACAATTTTAAAAAGTCACATGGGAAAATTGTTTTCGACACAAATGAGAGAAATTAATGAGAAGGTCATATTATTGCAACGTAAGTCCAATAAAGGACTACCTTTGAACATGAGGTACAAAGACAATGAGTCGATTCAATTCGATATTCACTTAAATCCGAAAAGCTCCAGTGAATTGATTAATGAATATGGTGAAACTACATTCATTGATTTATAACTGTATTGTTTTCACAATAAAGGGGATTAACCAGCATCGAGCCTTTGTTTCTACTTAAATGAATGATATTGATATTTCATTTCCATACGAACAATACAATTTTCCTAGCAAATCTTTTTAATACGACATTTTGTCAGTATAGCTTTGTTATGTACGAGAAGCTGATTGGTTGGTATTAAAATCAGACTAATTGTTACATAATTAAGCATAGCAGTTTATTTTTGTTACCACGTGTAGTGCTATTGTCAAGTTTAATTACTAAGTCACTTGATGTGTGAAAAAGGAATATATGCCAAATCACGGTACAATTGTGTTTTAAGAGTTAAACATACTTTTCTAATTAAATTAAATTCCAAATCAAATTGAGTAACAGAGAAAATCCAGTAATAAATAAACCACATAAAGTTTGAAACTAAATAAAGTAGCAATAAATGTACAACAAAATTTAATTAGCAGTGAAAAGGTCGTAACTTGGCTTTTTATGGGCGACTAACAGCCACCTTACTGAAAACACTGTACGAAGCTGCGTGTGTAACAATTTATATGACAAGGATGAAAAATGGAGGCTTGTCACTTTTGACATTAGACAGTTATCCTCCTGTTCCATTCTTGTAGGTCTGTGGATAACGCAATGGGCGGAATGTCGAGCGAGGTTCAACGTACTGTGACGTAAAATCGGCTAATGCAGTCAGACTGAAACTGTCGGATAGGATAGAGAACTCCGCTCCAAAACCCCGTTGTTTAAAATCCTGACATTTTATATACAGTTGGGATTTTTAACTGAAATTCAAATTAGATTCTTCATTTTGAAATGGAAACGAAAATGCATGCAATCCGATACACGGATGTTTATAAATGTATTTTGAAATTCAATGATGTGGTTCTAAATGTAGGAGGATATAAAGAAGCTCGCAGATTTAAAAATGAGATTGTGTGTTTCATATGTTAGATACTTAACGTAAATTAAATCCAAAGTTAACAACGTAATATATGGGTACTTAGATGTACATGTGTTGTTGGAAATTAGGTATGGTTAACGTGTCGGACTCGGGTTTTCCCCAGGGAGCTATCTTGTCGCCAACTCTAAAACCATTAGGTAAGTTTCTCGACCTGACCACCTAATTTTGTCCCCAGGTTTTGCCTGTTCGTGTTCACACTTTTCACAATCATCGCAACAGTAGCTGTCCTGCTATCGGCACCGCATATCATCGTGCAATGAACCAACTACTAGGTGCCTCGGGTGTACCGGCACAAGTATGAGAGAACTAATTATTAGTATGCCGATTTGTAATTATAATTAATAATGTAATTAAAATAAATACGTGTTTGAAGCGCACACGTCTCCTTTAAAGTCTTAAGACATTAAATTACGATAAATTTACATTATTATAGTTAAGTCAAATGCTAATGGAAATTTAAGCCGGAGCCAGAAAATATTACATTATGAAGGTCGTTTTGTTTTTCGTCTTGTAGTTGTATTGTTCTGTAATTATCTTTTGAGACGTAAAAGAAGGTATAAAGTTTTATTTCTTCGAATTTACAAGGTTACTTGGGGCTTAGGCTCAAATTCCCATTAGTGATTATTAAAAAAATGTGATGTTGACTAGGATGTTATACAGATAAATGTTGACGTGTCTAATTTGTTAAAAAACAATATTAATAACTTTATCTAAACGGTTTGTATAAACGAAATATTAATGAGGGTTAATTTGATGGAAATGTATGCTTTGCTGGCACAGAGTTGAATTACTTTAGAGAGAAGGAATTACAAAAAGGTTGTATAGAAATTGAATTCTTGGAACGAAAAGTGAGGTTTGATCAAAAAAGTTTGTATAACAGAAAGTTCGGTTCTGCGTCAATGCTGGAATTAAAATTGTCATAAATTGAAGAGAAAGAAGGTTCGAAAAAATTAGATTTGAATCGGTATCCTTTTTACACGTTATGAGGGAACACAGATGATGACAAAACCTTAGGGTATTAAGTAATGTACATAATGGATCAAATATCGGTAGAGTCAAGAATAGCTTAACGATTTAAGAATATTCCATTCGATATAAAACTCGATTAGCGAAAGTCGCTATGTTTACATCGTTACATATCGATTTGAATCGATATGTATTATATAGATTGGGACATTAGTGAAGATTGTGAAAGTTAATATTGTAATTATTAAAAGAATATACTACGAAAATTTAATCCAGGAATTGTTAAACAGTCATGGAATTGATAAGAATTCAACATTTAATACGGAACCAAAGATAGACTAGGTCTAGCATGACGGGGTTCAATAAAAATAATTTAGATCCGAACGCGGAAGGTAACGAGTAATCGGTAGTGAGTTTTTGTTAATAAACGTAATATCAATTAAACTGAAAATTGTTAATATCTCGTATCGATAAATGCTCATTTAATATGGATTGTGTAATATTATGGAAGTATTAGAATATCGATATGAGAATAAGTCCCTAGCAACAGAAATAGTAACTGATATTTAGACATCGGTTTATGTTAATGTAATGCTTAGCAAAAATAATACAACGCCGTTAATATCACTAACCACCACATAACCATAATGGTATATAATGTACATACAGAATAATGCAGTGTGTATGTATTTGTATATAAATTTTAGAAAAAAAATCGGAAAAAAGACTAAAATATCGCATTTTTCACTCTAGTATTTATAACAACCAGTCTTATTGGGCAGGAATAGTACACTATTACACGTAAGTACTAGATACTGTCTTTATATTGATATCGTCACGATAAGTCAAGCGTTATCTGATTCATTTCAAACGTAGATCGAAGGGAGGCGATCCGAAATTTTTCGCGCCCAATAAGACGTCAGAATTTCGCTTTGACGGATGTTCAATTGAAAAACTTTTTTGATTGAAATTGATTGTTATCGATTCCAATTCGTCATTGTCTACTCAATTAGAACCTTTTAGCACATACTGTAGCATCTATATAATAGTCGTATTATTTAAAAAATAAACAATTTAAAGTCTTTATCTATGTCCGTTCCTCGATTTCACTCTTATAGATGTCGTGATAGCCTAGTGAATGTCGTGTCCCTTGATTTAAGCTAACTTATAATGAAATAACTATTGTTAAGGAAGCTCATTAAAATTAGATATAAAATTTACGCGATCTGAGTGTTTTGCATAATTATTTAATATTATTCTTTTCTATATTGGAAATTATAAAAATGTGTTTACACGAGCAGTTGTAGTATTTTCTTGGATTCGTTATCATACGAGTATTGATTGACTCAGCGTGATTGAGTCTCAAGAGAAAAATACAGCGTGTACTCAAATTGTATTTATCAAAATAATGTTTCATTAAAACTTAATTATGTTAATGATTCCTGAGATTATGGACGTTGTCGTTTTGCAGAATTTATTTTAAACAGTGTGGTGCTGAACGATATCAGGTGACGACATTTTCTTTTCGTATTTATAATTGTTATATTATTATGTATAATTTAAAATTTAATAAACCCTATTGTTATCTTTTATTGTGTATATTTCAATTTGAAAGTGATGATAAAAAATAAAATTTGTAAAATTAATTAATATATTTAATTAGATTTGTTAGTGCCAAAAATAGGGTTTATAAATATTGAAGTTAAGTTGGTTTTAGGTATAAACGATGAAGTTGAGATGATTATTGTAAAGAAAATATAAAAAAAACGAACTAGGGTCTTTGTTAACATGTAATTTAACTGGTTAATGTTTGTATTGGGCCGCGTCTACGGGTTATTCAGCCAATTTTAAACTTATTTTGTTTGAAAAAAATAAATGAGAGGTTGTGAAATCGAATGTTAAGGCCCGTGGTAGCGGTTCAATGATAAAATATAATAAAAATATTGATAAATAAAAACGAGTAGAAACGATCTACGATATAATAAAATCTCAATAATAAAACGCCTGCATGGGACCGGGTTAGACTATAAACGAACAAAATGAACTGACGTACGTAAACCACTTCATATGAAACGCAAACACATTTTACAAGCAGTTGCTATTGTTTTAATCTCTCACTTTTACAACATATTGGTATGTAATAGCAAATTTTCTGAAACTTTATAACAATTCGTTCTTACTTCAATGTCAATACAAATTGTATGGGGGAACTAGCAACACTGTCTAGATTCTTTTTCTAATTGAAAATTGGACAACAAAAAAAAAAAAAAAAGAAACGTAATGTTCCAAATTCAAAAAACATTGGCCAAAATTTTATGATTCGAAATTGGAAATGTTAAAATGAATGTATAATCATTTTTTTAAACTAAATATTATGTGCGATGAATACGATATTCGGCTAGTCGGTGAAGTAAAGTTTCCTCAAATATTTTGTAGATTTTAATCTCTACTCTATTTCCGAATTTCACTTAACTCTGAGGAACAGTTTACACACTATCGTCTATTTCTACACTAATACATATATGTATACACATCTTTATATAATTTTTATGTTTGTATGGCATATGAAACCTTCGTACACGCACCTATGCTCTATCTCTTTAACGATTCGATATGTTTTATTATCTATGGAAGATAATATGCACTTAATTTTTTTTCTATTTTTACAAAATTGAATGAATCAGAATTCATATACTTTTTTCTTTTATACAAAAAGGAATAATATTTAAATATTGCAACATATGCCATACAAACGGCTCTGCATACTGCACAACAGAAACAAAATGCTTTAATCGTGAAACAGGTATTTTGGATTTCCATGTATATTCTACTTCTGACGCTGTAAACTAAGATTTTAACTATTTCAAGTCTCATCTACTCTTGTGTCCTTTATTTAGCGGTAAGGAATTTACAGCCGTTTTTGGAAAAAAATGCAAACTCGTTTATCAATTATTTTGTTGCCAAGGACCTAAGAACCTTTTTTTGAAATTTTTTAGTTGTCAAACCTTTTATGGTTGACCATTTTATTGCTGGAAAATTCTCTTTTAAAGAAAAGTCAATTTTAGGATACGATATCGATGCTCGTTTCTCTAAGATCGAAAAATATATAGTGTACCTTTTCACGTAACTTGCGATGGCGGCCGATAGTGACATCTTGTTTGCTCAAAGACTCGCCGCACCGCCAACGGAGCCACGATACAAGCGACTAGTTGAGCGCTATTGACACATGTCGAGTCTGTTAGTCTATGGACACAAAAACGCGGGAAACACCTTTGAATTTAGAATCCGCACAGGTTGCCAACGCGAAAAGATTTTCTAGATTTTATCAGTTTTTATTTCCTGATAGTTTTGCTAACAAGAGTAAAAAGACAGTAATTTAATGTAACACTAATACAGTTCAAAGAAGTGGTTCTTTCGTTCTTTGGCCAACAAATCTAAGTCTGTGTCTCATTCAATCGCTATGTAGGCTACATCTATTGACATTACACCTGGTGGTTGCTCGCTTACTCACACCATCTTATGTATGCAACAATTTAATATACTTTATGTTTATAAACTCACACATTCTTACTCGCGCTGAGTGTAGCTCATCATCTAGTCAATTTAATTTTTTTGATGTCTCCAATTATTTAATTCGTTTGATAAAATTCTTTATTTATAAGTTACTGGAAAAACTTAAACGAAATATTTTCTTGAAGAACCTTTAAGACCTTCGATGTTCTCGAAGAGAGGATTTCATTAAAGTATT